TAGTACACTTCGTACGTACGACAATACAAAGTAATAGTCGTGTATGTGTACGTACTCTTCTTCTGTATACGTAATACTTATTATAGTATATATAGTATATATATATATATATATATATATATATATATATATATATATATAGTCTTATACAATAGGAAACATTATTTTCTTACAGCATTACAAGCCTACACACATCCGTTGCAAAGAAAGCAGACAACATTTGAATATGAAGACGCGTTGAATGCTATACAGACACGTTTGTTTCCCTAGCCTCTTACGGCTCTGCCTGCCTCTTACGGCTCTTACGGCTCCGCCTGCCTCTTACGCCTCTTACGGCTCTGTCTGCCTCTTACGGCTCTTACGGCTCTGCCTGCCTCATAAGCGGGCAGCACACTTCACCATTTTCGTTGCTCGTACAGGCAATTTTCGTGGTCGCCACAAAAATGGCCAAGTGTGCGGGGGCCGGCAACGACCACTCACCACGGAAATTTAGTGGCGACCACGAGTTGCCGAGAATCAAACTGGTTTGATTTCTCACCACGAAAATTGCTCGTGGTGGCAACTTGTGGTGAAGTGTGCTGTGACGCGGCAACGGCCACAAAAATTGCCGACCACGAAAATTGCCTGTACGAGCAACGAAAATGGTGAAGTATGCAGGTGCATGTAGTAATACAATGTAAAAAAAAATTACAATGTTAAAATATTACAATGTAGAAATGTACAAAAGGAGGTCTCTAGCGTTTCTCGCATTCCACTCTCATTTACAAAGTTAAACGCACGATAGAAAAATGCGAGCGTTATCTTGCATCCATTTCAACCCGCATAACTATACTTACATACATGCAATGCAATCTCAACACGAGTTACTAAATTTATTATAACTGCGTAACATAAGAGTTACAGCTCAGAGCGATTACTCTGGGAGAACCCCCATGAACCAAGTCACGTGTCAGCTGGCAATTTAGGTGTTGGCGCTCAGTCGTGGCTCTACCTCGAACGGATACGCTCTTTTGGTTTTCACCTTGGCGACAAGGTAACTTGCGGATAAAACAATGACAACATTATGGAGTACAGTATGCGAGAGCAATGTCAATATAGATGATAGGTACATTTCTCTTGCGAGAACAAAGTTTGTAGGTTTAACATCTAGAATCACCGATCTATAGTTGGATCTCCGCTCGTATGAAAATTTGACCTGAGGTTTATCACACTGACTCGTAGCAGTATCCGTGCAACAGGAGCAAACAGCTTAGCAGTACGGCAGGCTGCGCACTATTCCCACTGAACGTTGGGCTTGTCGAGCATCCTGTTAGCGATGTAGAAGAGCAGCGAGGATGCTGTGAATAGCAGCCAGGTAAACAGCGTCACGTAGTAGCCGCTGCTGATATGAAACCCCGTCGAGGAGCTACCGTCAGAGGGCGTGTCGTCCAGTTTCACACTCACACCAGGGCTGAGCATTTTCGCTAGACATAATGCCAGCGCGCTGCCAGTGCAGAGAACTAAACAAAGCAAAGCCAGCGTTTACAATGCATGATGAACATATATATATATATATATATATACATATATATATATGTGTGTGTGTGTGTGTGTGTGTGTGT